CAACGGCAGCTATCACGACGTCTTCTTCGTTATTCTGACTCTTCTTCATCAACCGTGACAAGCCATCTGCTTGTCCAAACTTCGTAGTCTTGACATACTCTGTGTCAAAGTCATATCCAAGCAGTATTGTAGCCCATCTCATGAGTCGGTTAGCGGAGTAGACTGGAACTCCTTTCTTGTCACCGAAGATGGCTAGCAAAGGTTGATGGTCCGTCAAAAGTAGGAACTTTCGTCCAAATATGTACTTGTGGAATTTCTTGACAGCGAAGACAATTCCCAAGGCTTCTTTTTCGATCTGCGAGTAATTCTTTTCTGCCTTCGTTAAAGATCTTGATGCGTGTGCAATTGGCTTTTCGGATCCATCCGCATATCTATGCGATATCACACAACCTATGCCATAGTCACTAGCGTCCGCTGCCACGACTATCTTCTGTCTTGGGTCATAGTGAGCAAGGTTCAGCTCACTTGACAATGCATCTTTGAGCTTCTCGAATGCATCTTGCTGGGTTCGAGTCCATTCCCACTTCGAATCCTTCTTCAGCATCGCATCTAATGGCCCACGAAGATCCTTGATCTTTGGCATGAACGCCGCATAGTACGTTATCATGCCAAGAAAAGCTCTCAGTTGACCAACATTCTTCGGCTCATCCATATTCTTGATCGCTTCGATCTTTTCTAGATTCGGCCTTCGTCCATTTCGATCTACTATGAAGCCAAGATATCGTATCTCTGGCTTGCCAAAAGAACACTTCTCTAAGCGAATCCTGAATCCATAATCGGCTATCCTTGCAAAAACAGCTAGCAGATTTTCCATGTGTTCTTCTTCGGTTCGTCCACACACCAGTATATCGTCCAGGTAGGTTGCTACCCCTCGCAATCCGCTCACCATCTTGTTCATGATCTGCTGGAAGATCCCCGGTGCTGTCTTTATCCCAAAAGGCAGTCTATTGTACTGGTACAATCCTCTGTGCGTATTTATCACTACCAGTTTCTTCGCTTCCTCTGACAACTCGATCTGCAGATAGGCGTCCGACAGATCTAACTGCGAAAACACCGTGCCTCCATTGAGGGATGCGAATATATCCTCCGGCAATGGCAATGGGTAATCATACGACTCCAGCGCTTTGTTGAGTCCAGTCGAGAAGTCAGCACACACTCTCAATTTTCCATTTGCTTTCCTAACACATACGATGGAAGCTGCCCATTCGCTATGTGTCACCGGACTTATAACCTTCAGGTCCAATAGCCTGTCAAGCTCCTTTTCGACGGCTTCGAGTGCGGCATGGGGGACAGGTCTACTAGCCTTGAAAACAGGACTAACGCTTTCGTCAACTTTCAAGTGTGCCTTTTCCTTCGTGCATAATCCCAAACCTTCTTTGCAGACCTCCGGGTAAGCTTCTTTCAGCTTCTGAGCGATAGCATCGTGTTGTCCCAACTTCACTTCAGCAGCCATCCTGCTCAAGTGGTACGACATTTCTTCGTTTTTCTGGATCCATTCCAGTCCTAGCAATGAGTTGTGGGGCGTCACATATGCGTAGCCTTCGCTCCTAGAACCTTTGATCTCGTAGTCGCACCATAGCTTTCCATGAACCTTCATGAAGCCTCCACTGGCATTCTTGACGACCACGTTCGTGTTCTCCAGCCGAGGAGCGCCCATGCTTTTCCAGATTGATTCGTTCAACAATGTGATGTCCGATCCAGTATCTAACAGGAAGCTGACTGGATAACTATTCACTTTTGCTTCGATATACATGCGTGTCGAGTTGACATCCACCATCGCATTTGCAATCTTCGCTACGCTGTGCACATGACGTCTTGGTTTCGTCCAACTTTTGTTCTTACTAATGTCGCTGCTTCTGTGGATTCTTCGTTCTTGCTGAACAAGTTTTTTTCTCTTCGCCACCTGTTCGCAATACTTCTCCTTGTGACCTGTAGCCTTGCACTTCTTGCAAAACCATAGCTTCGCTTTGCATTCCCTTGCAAAGTGAGCTTTACCACAGTTCCAGCATTCCAGCTTCGTGGGTTCTTCCTTGCGCGTTGCTTCGACTATTTTCGTGCATCCAGCTATAGTCTCGCTATCTTTCTTGAGGCTCAGAAAATTTTCGCATTCCAAGTGCAATTCCTGCAGCGAAATTTTTCGTCCAGCTTTGTATTCCTTGTCCAGTACGGCGATGAGTCGCTGCCTTATTTCAGCTTCTTTTTGGCTTTTCAGGCCGAATATCCATAGCAAGCATTTGATCCCATCGCTATCGAGTTCGTGAATCTTCGCTTTCTCGCACAATTCGTTCACTCTTCCAGTGTACATGAGGTAATCTTCGGCGTCGCTCTTCTGTAGCTTTAAGCACTGGTACCTCATTGTAAATTCGGAGATCTTCACGTCGAATAGTTGCTTTAATGTTTCAACGGTTTCTTCGAACTTAATCGCAGTCACTTCTTTCGGCAGGACATGCCTCTGATATTTTTCGAAACATTCCTTGTCGAGCTTCTCGCAGAGAAGCCTCACCCTGGCACTCTCTGGCAGCTGCTTCGCATCTTCGACGAAGACTTCCTTGTAGCGAGCGTACCACTTACTGAAGCATTCGTCCGCTTCTGGGTCGAAGTAGAATTTTTCGATCCGGTTGCTCAGCGCGGACATCATGTTCGGAACTTCCGACGACGTACTGGGCTGTCCAGTACCGGCGATGTGCTTCAGAAATGTCTCCATCATTTCTTGCCTTTCTTCTCTCACCAATTCCCTGAGGCTCTTCTGGTCTTCTCTAATCAGTTCCTTGAACATGATCACCAAGTCTTCTGTGCCTATTTTCGCCATTTGTGACCACTCCAGCTTTCGAGATTTCGTTTCCCTGCAGCTTCTTCGGCGTGGTTCCTGGCGTGCTTCGTTACGGCTACTTCTTCGCTAGTAACCGCTGCCTCCTGATCGCCACTGTTGTGTCCTCGATTCCGGACACTTCGATTCTTCGTCCTGTAGGGCACAGAAGGAAGCCAATAGATTTATTAGAGAAATAATAGAAAAACAGAATAAATATGAGAGGCAAGTTAGTGAACGAATGAAACTGACAATGGCTAATAGCGAGCGCCTTTTATAGCGCTCATTTCCCGCGCATTAAGGTCGCAGGCGCCTCAGCGAGGGCAGATCATACGAGAAAACAACTGATCAGACACTAACACAACAATACTTTTTTACATATTTATTGTAGAAACATAACTAATTATTGCTTTTTGATTCCCTTTTAACTTAGGGTTTTTCAGCCTGACTACCTCCTCTTACGACCCCCCCCCCTCCCTTCCACTTTAGGTACCCTCTTTACGACCCCCCCCCCCGTTGCGACGGTCGCATCACATGCTTGACACTGCCTTCAACAAATCTTTGTTCTGCGAATTTTAGCCGTTAGAAAAGCAAGAACACTTTCGGGGCAATCTAATACAGTGCTGGCCAAAGCTATAAAGCACCCTAAAAATCAATGTAATTTGCTCTCTCTTGTTCGATTGTCCGAAAAACCACTATTCTGTGTGCAAACTAACGTCATATCATTGACCAGGACGGCTCCCAATTTCATTGGTTTTGGCCGGGCGAAAATTAAAAAAATTGAAAAAAGGGGTTCCCAAGGCTGGTTACAGCTATGAAGCCACCTTTCATTTTCAACCAGTACTACGTTTTTTTGAACCTGAAATTTTTTATGCATATACAACATCAAAATATAAAACATTTATCACACTTGGAAGCAGTAGCCCTTTTAAAAAGAAAATTCATTCTGCATTTTTTGCTTTAAAATGTATAAAAAGTTATGATGATTGGAAAAACTGCCTCTTCATCGCATTCTCAAGCATCTGTTTGACTCGGATGAAGGTCCTAGGCTTCGCCGAGCCTTTGCAATGGATATGGTAAAAGCGCTGGAGTCAACATGGCGTAGTCGCTGATACTGATAAACGAGCCTCAAACTTACTTCCAGGTAGACGAGATTTAAAACCGCAGGAATTGAGTTCTAATGCACGAAAAGCTCTGCCATGTTCAGCTCGTCGCCTGTACAACGGTGCGCATAGTTTGAACGTCATCGCAACTCTCAAGGATGGTTCCGCCTTGGACGCCCTTTTTCCAAAAATGAGTGGTGCACTCTGCCTGATCATGACACATTCTGAACTCTCATCAAGCGGAAAACCGCTCAAAACTTCGAAATTCTAAAAAGTACTCCTGACAGTTTTGTAAGATTTGACTTGCAAAGGAGTTCAAAGCAGTAAAATTTCAAGTCATGTGAGATACACTGCGCACAACCAAACTGCAGACAAGCGTTCTGAGTTCAGTGCTGCAAGTACGTCTTTGTAAAAAGCCCGACAGCTTCTGCATAAGTACGTCACCATGCAAACAAGATGTCAACTTCCAACCGAAAATTTTCGCGCGTCAGGAATCGAGTTTGCGTTTCAGAAGCGTGTTTAAACCTCTGTAAGATGAGGCTCGTTTATCAAGATCAGTGATTACGCAATGTTGAGTCCAGCACTTTTCACCATACTCATTGCAAAGGCTCGGCGAGGCCTAGGACCTTGATTCGAGTCCAACAAATGCTTGAGAATTCGGTGAAAAGGCGGTTTCCAAGCATTATAACTTTTTATATATTTTGAAGCAAAAAATGCAGGGTGAATCTGCTTTTTGTAAAAGGCGACTGCTTCAAGTGTAACAAATGTTTCATATTTCGATGTTGTATATGCAAAAAAAATTTCAGGTTTGAAAGCGTAGTACTGATTGGAAATGAGAGGTGGCTTTATAGCTATGACCAGCCTTGAGAACCCCTTTTTTCAAATCTTTTAATTTTTCTCCGGCCAGAATCAATGAAATTGGGAGCCGTCGTGGTCAATGATATGACGTTAGTTTGCACACAGAATAGTGGTTTTTCAGACAATTTCTAACAGGAGAGAGCAAATTACAGTGATTTTTAGAGTGGCTTTATAGCTATGGCCAGCACTGCATGACAAATTTCATACGATGAAATTAATGGGGAGATTCTTACCTTCGTGATCTTGCAATATTTTTTACAAGCGATTTTAGATGGTTTTGGGACAATCCATGACTTCTTATCCATCAGACCGCATGGATTTATGCTAATGCTTGCATCGAGAAGGGAGAGGAGCAGAAGACCAACCAGCAAACAGTTCATGTCTTTCTGGAAACAGAAAATGTGTATAAGAGTATTTGAAAGCTAGCAATGTTCGGCGCATGGCTACCTCACTTTTTGAAGTGAACATGACACTGCGTCTTGTTATCTTATGCGCCAAAGGGATTGCGCCGAAGGCATTTCGCATTTTTTTATAAATTGGAGCTACCGTTGCGTACTATTCTTTTTATAGTAACCTGCAGTACTTAACATCACCGGCATTTTCTTGGGTTTTCCGATGCTATGTGAATTTTGCGGAACTTTAGAGAGTTTGATTGAGTTAGGAGGAAACAACTCTCGATAATGCAACGATTACTAACTTACATTGTAAAAAGATGAAAGTAGTTGCACGAAAACTTTTAGTAGGAAATTAGAGACTACTTAATACCTTGATATGCTTGTTTAGGCTGATGCAAAATTAATGGCCATTTTGCTATCTCTCACCCTGACATGCTGTAAGATCCCGCCAAATCTACATTTCTGATCCCAGTAAAGACCAACAAAATAGCAAACCATTTGCAATACTGTGCACATTCAGCTATACTCGCGTCACAAACGGGCAGAAAAATATGTATGATTAACAAAAAAACTTCTCTCGAAACCTTGTTTGTTGACGAATCATAAATCTCTTCAAAGTTTGTCAGCATATGTGATAGTTGTTTGTCTTGTACCCGCAAACAAGTAGGACAAAAGAAGATGGAAAAGGTTTGGACAAAGAAGATTTGCGAGGTGGAAATGAATTTACAACTGTGAGCTTTTCGGCATTTTTTCAATATCCCTTAAAATGCCGACTTATAGAATTTTTCATTTTCTGCATAGCAAACAGACAGATGCTTTTGCAAAAAACGGTGAATCGGATGCCCCAAACTTATGCTTACAAGAATGAGCAAGCTTTGCACCTTCTTTAAAAGAAATTTCTGGGTCATAGAATGACAGCAATGGCTACTCATGTAGAGTAATCGATATCCTCAGTCTAGATAATATCAAAAAAAGCTAAATTTGCGCAATGTAGACACTCTTTTCAACTTATATTAGGTTGATGCATAATTCCTGCATCAAAATAGGTACAGACGCAATAATTCGGAATAATCCTGTATCCCAAATAGGATTCGATATATCATTAGATAGAGCAAACCTAGCTCTACAAGATAGTGCTCAAAGATTTGCAGCAGCTTTGATCCAAGCGAAGATCGAGGCCAAAACAAAAAAGATCCAAGCACCCCAAAAAACCAAGAAAAAATTGGAATTCCGTTCAGAAAAATCCTTCAAAATTCCTAACATGCTCATGCATTGTCATTTCGTATAAGACATTTCTCTAAGCAGTTGCCGTATTTTTCTCTCAGCTAGAAATTGAGAAAACGAAGTTTTTTGTGTTTTTTTTCCAAAACATTGCTGAGATGTTCTAGCACTGACAATTGTTTACTATATGACCTTAGAAGCGTGAACGTGAATTTTCAACTCTTCACAGAAGCTGGTTTACGAGAAATATCAAACTTTTAGCAACTAGGCAAGAAAAATTCGGATGCCGAGAGCTAGATTGTCATTTCTCGTAAAGCCGCACTTCTTGGGCTGAAAATATAAAATTTTACTGCTAACGGCATGTACTATACAACTGTGAGTGCTAGAACATCTCAGCACCAATTTGGCAAAAACATGAAAAACTTCGTTTTCTCATCGTCTAGCTGAGAAAAAAATACAGCAACCGCATAGATAAATGTCTTATGTGAAATGTCTACGCGTGAACAAGAAAGAAAATTTGTAGGAGCTTTTTGAACGAAATTACAATCATGTTTTGATTGGTCTTAAGGTTTTTGGACATGGTTTTTTCTCAGTCGGCTCAAAACCTCGCGTGGATCAAAGCTGGTGCAGATTGAGCATTATCTTGTAGAGCTAGGTTTGCTGTATCTAATGAGATATCGAGTCCTATTTGGAATATAGGATTACTTCATGTTATTGCGGTCTGTATTTATTTTGGTGCAGGAATTATGCATCAACCTAATAGTAAGTTAATTTTTGAGAAGCGCCGTTTATTCATGCTTAAATTCTGGCAAGAAAAGCGGTTAAATTCTGATTTTGGATGCGGTTAATTGAAGCTCTGTAAATTCTAACAGGCAAGGCTAGAAGCCCATTCCGACCACTATTAAATAGGCTTTCTGATTACAGTGGTTTTTATTACATTCAAATGTACAGGGTGTTCCAAAAGTCTTGTAGCCTAGTATTTTTTTAAGAAGAACAGAACGGAACAACACTGAGATATAAAATTCGGTGCAGACATTATTCAAACAGTCGCAAATACATTACGCATTCGAGTTTCGTGGTAGCGTCTTTCCTTGATAACGGAAGCCTTCATACGTTTGGCGATTGCCACTGCCGAGGCACGCAGGCAGTCATTTACAATTTTGTCCCCATTTTTCATGAAAATAGGTGTTATCGCTAAGAAAGCGTACTGTATGATAGAGCAAGCTTTTAGCTGCAACATACCACGAAAAATTCATAAGTTCTATGGTTAAAATCACAGGAGTTTGAATACAGGCATGTGTAGATCTCAGGTGGAGTTTTGGTCACATTTTTGCGAGAAAGAAAAAGAGAAAATCGGCTACAATGTGTTTCAAAACCAAGTTCGTCATCTGTGTTCTACTAGATTCACATCTAGGTGACATGCGAAGAGGATATTACTGCAAATTCAGCGACTGCCGCAACTCTACAGATTTGAAACTAATTTCAAAGGCATAGATGCAGTGGCACGCATTCAAAACTTCCAGATCTTTTCTCACCTGTCTCAATGAAATAGATTTTCAAATGCAGCCATTGCAGTGATAGTAGTGCAAAACCTCGTCTATGTTGTGGAGAATTTGCACCGCGGTGTGCCAAATTCTTGCAGCAACGGAATAAATTTCAAACGTTTAGGAAATAGCTTTTTGCGTTTTGAGGTAGAAATGATTTGATAATTTTATTTTTTTTCAGTTAAACATGATAATCATTTTTGACTCCCACGAATGTATTAGGTTTTCTGAGAAATAATGTCGCATGGCATCCCAACGCGAAAGAACGACCACAAAAAACAGCGAATGGGGTATCATTTGATAGAGCAAAGCAAGCTCTACAAGGAAGTTTACGAACCTCCGCGGAAATCTTTCTCCACCTGAAGTTCGAATCCAAAATAGAAAAAATTTCAAATACCCAAAAAAACGTATCTTCGTTCATAGACGTCTTAGGAATTTCCAGATTGCACAAGCATGCACTCTCCATACGAGACATTCAACTGTATAGTACAATACGACCAACAAAAATAGGTCAAGAAAGCGATTGTGTCGCGTTTTTCGTTTTTGCAAACAATTTGGATTTTCTCGAAAACTAGCGTGTCTAAAGCTGGAAATTCATGGCTTCACTCCCAAAGGTTCATACTACAGAATCACCCATGTGAAAGAAGCTCAGGATTGCTTTGGCAAAAATATGCGGAATTTTGTTTTCTCGATTTTCAGCCATGGAAAAACCGCCTAAATGCGCATAAGAGTGTCTCGTATAGTGAGTCAATGCGTGAGCAAGATAGGGATTCCCAATTTCTGAACGGAAATACTATTTTTTTTCGTCTTTTTGGTTTTGGATGTCTTATGAAATTTGGCTCCAAACTTCACGCAATCAGACCTGGCGCGAAAGTTCCAGTTTTATTTGCAGAGCTTGCTCTTCTGTCGGTTGATACCCCGCTTGCTTATTTTCGTGCGCACGCTGCTGTGATATTGTATGATAAAATACGATGCGACATCATTTTCCGGACAACCTAATATTTTATAAAAAATGATTGGAGCATTCTGTGGCAGAAAGAGATCAAAACACTAGTGATTGTTGAGTTAAAGGAGCGCAAATTTAGGCTGCAAGACTTTTGGGATACACTGTAATATTTCGAAAAAATTCGCATTTGTTTCGAACCTGAAACACACTTCAAAATAGAAAATAGCGTCAGTGCGATGTAGAAGATATATGTAAAAACTTGGAAATGTTTGAAACTTGTGCCGACAGCCGTCAATTTATGGCGTCAATAATTCATGGCAGTTTTATAGCTCAAATCTTTGCTGCCGTAAACTTTGAAAGCCATGTATACGAATTTGTGCTAAAAAAGGCGAAAATCTTCTTGAAATCTGTGAAGAGGGCTAGATTCGTTGTTTATAGAATTACTCAATCCCTTGTTAAAGTCAAAGTACTGAAGAAATTTCTACATCGTAGACAAACAACTTCTTTGCTGTCAATTTTTAGAAACGCTTAAAAAGCTAGTGGTCATCATAGCGGTAGGTATTTGCAAGCATTTCTCATCACAAGATTATCATGGCAGCTTTTTAGCCGGCTGAGAAAATCTGTTCTGTAACCAAATGTTTCTGTTGAGTTGATAAGTCTTCCGTCCTATCTTGCTGAAACCTCGGCCAATTGAGGTTGCATCAGTAATTAAGACGGCACGAGATATTACATCAGCGGCCTAACGTTACCACTCTTTGTCTTCAGAGACCAAAATTCCTGGAATGGTGGGAAATTAGTGATTTCATGTCTGCCCCACCAAGTGTTTATCAAACCTTGTTTAGTTCCTCAGTCTCCCTCCGAGCTTTACGAGCAAAAGTCGCTAGACGGGAAACAAGCAAAACGTTGCTCCTCCATCGCCGGCGCACTTGATGGTTAAGTGCAACTGCTTCTTTGGTGACAGTAGTGCAAAAGTCGCATCAATTATCCCAATGTGGATGTGATTATAGCCGCTTAGGATGTTCACCATAATGACATTGCTGCTCAATTGTGTTTGCTCATTGCTCTGCTATATTACCACACTGATTCCATTCGAGACGAAAGAAGACAAAGTGCTATTTTATTGTTATGCTTGGCAGTATTATGTGAAGAGATTGGTCTAACATAAGCGTGAGCCATCGATAGACATTTTTCTTCGCGAGGTTTACTGCAACATCAACTCTTTCTCCCTCCATTTCATACAAGTTTGTGCTCTGGACCTATTTGGTACTGACGTTTCTGAGGCTTCTGGATGTGCCTACCAGCATGTAATAAAAAAATATTTCAGCCTTCTACAAAACTTTTAACGCGCGCAAACAGCCAGTT